TTATGTTTGTAGGTGTCACTGATATTGCCAATGATATCTACAAAGAAAAAAATGATTGTATGTAGATATCAAATTGTAATCACAAAAATCTTCAAATAGGAATTGAGAATAGACATTTAATTGTGAGAGCGCCTAGGCAGCTCTGAGCATTTATAAGAAACAGAATGGCAGAAGTTTCACTTAAGTTTCTGAAAAGAGACAAATCAGAACATAAGAAGGTGATCTTGAACAAGCCAGAAATCTAGTTTCAACTCTGAGCATTTATAAGAAACAGAATGGCAGAAGTTTCACTTAAGTTTCTGAAAAGAGACAAATCAGAACATAAGAAGGTGATAGAATTAAAACAGAAGGACTGAAGAAAGCTGGTAGCATCCAACTTACTTAGACGTCTCCTGCTTGGCAAGTTGTTATAGAGATGCTCAGCATTGATCTGTAAAGCTCGGTAAAATTCTTGACATGGTTTGTCCCCTTTCTTTTGCAAGTGAGCTATGAGGTTTGAAAGCCGACTATGAAGAGGAGCTTTGGGATTTCGAAACTGTAGAGAAAAAGGACTGTTTAGACTGCAAGAAACAGATTTCAGCACCATTGCTACAATTTTAAAACAGTCCCCATCTCATTCCTACAGCACATGAAAGAGTACAAACTAGATTTCTGGCTTGTTCAAGTTTGTTTTACTGCAGAATATGTGATTCTACATAACCTGTTGATATTGCTTCGTTGACAGGATAAGAATAAAACATTTTCTATGAGAAATACCAGCAGAAATACTCATCCTTTAAATGATTAAATAAATAAGGAACTAATATACTATATATTCAAGGTTAAGTTAGCACTGTTAGGAATGTACAATGGTATACTGTAGGTAGCCCTTCATATGGTTACATGATCTGTAGTTTTGTGAATCTGCAAGCGATAATTAGAGATCTTGGCTCACATTTTCACAAAGCTACAGTTTTGGCCTTGTTTTCTGTTACTTTACACATGTGCAAAATGGCAGATGGGCTCTTCTGCATATGTAAAGTATAGGTTTACTTATGAGTTAGGTTGTCTGTGCAAGGTAGCTGTATTTGGTCTGCCTTCTCTTCACTCAGCACTGGCAAATCTTGCTGTTTCAACCTGGTTGCAAGGTTTCATGGGATTCTGTTGCAAATCCTGGTCTTCCCCTGCTTTGGAATGACCCACTTCCAGGTGATGGAGGGAGTCCCATTGCTTTGACCATGATGCTCACCCCAGCTTCTCTGCTCCATACAGCTCTTTTGTGTTCCACTAGATGGGCCTCCCAACTGTACTTGTGGATGTTAGGACCATCCCCACACCACTCCAAACCATGAACAGATTCTGGGCAGCATCAACATCCAGTAGCCCAATAAAGAGGCCTTACCACTGAGATGGAGAAAGAGCCTGCAGAGCAAAGAAGCTAGTAAAAGTCATGTGGAGCAGGTAAGGTGACTCCCTCCATCACCACTTGAGTCAGTAGCTCTGAAGGCCACCTGCCACTGGTAAGCTACATGGACCTTTGTGACTGGGCTTATCCAGTGAGATCCATCATGACTAAGCAAGCAGGAGAAGGTACAAATGGCCACTATGGCAGGGAAAGTTTGTGGGAGAAGAGGCCAATCATTGATTCCAGACCCTAATGCCAATTCTCAGACTCAAAGGCTCATTCTTCAGTTTTGTTATCCACAACATCACAGAACCCTTCTGAATAATATGGGCCACCTACATAGTGTTATTATAGGTGGGAAATGCATGTGGTATAA